GAGCCGACCTGGGGCTGTGTAGGCCGGGCCGTCGCCGGGCTGATGAGCGCGCAAGGTGCTGCGTGTGTGGTTTGAAAACGTATTTCGGAAGCGTTAGCGCCTGGGGACAGAGTGGAGCGCGGACAGGAGAGTCCTGCCTTGGCGGGGAAGCGTGTGGTGGGAGGGCTGAGACATCAGAGTTGCCATAACCAGGCCTTCAGAAAGTGTTTTAATAACCATAGGTAGAATTTCTAAAGTTTCATTGCCAAACTGCTAATTTTCCTGGGTGTGAGTGCAGCATTTCCTACTTCTTGAACTTTCTCTCAGTGCTGATGCTCCCTAAAACATGTTCCGAGTGTTTCTCTGCACGAGGTGTTTGCTCCCTGGAACTGATCAAAAATTGACGCTTTCCTCTATGGTTCCAGGCTTTATCTCTGGAAATTACTTTTGGGTGGAGCTCCAACTTTCTCTTACTTTGGTTTAACTTATCTTTTTACTGGGGATATCGGATACAAGAAACAAATTACATCTGCAAGGTGCGGGTACAAACCAGATGAAAGATGATTCTTTGTCCGTGTAGTTTAACTGGAGAACTCCTTATTGCGAGGTTTTGTGGGTGCAAAAGATTCAAGGGGAAACTGGTTGACTTTATGGAAGTTCTCCCATTGGGGACGAGCGAGATAGACATTCTCTGTGAGAAAGTAAATCCAGGCTGCTGGCGGTTATGAGAGCGCACAGGAGAAGCACATGTGCTTGTGGTGGTGTTGGCTTCTGGTTATCAGCATTTGGCTGTGTGGGAGGTGACATAAGTGGACATTTAGCTGGGCCTGGTGTGAATATTTCTGCTTACACTGTAAGTTGTTCAGTGTATGTTTGTGGGTAGAGTGTGACTTTGGGGTGGTTTGGGTTTTTTTGCTTTGTTTTTTAGGGGAATGCTAGATGGTAGCTGTAGAATGGGTGGATTTCTCTACTAGGGAGGACACCAGAACTAAGGTCTTACAATGCTTGAATACCATTATCAAACTGCAGAGCGTTTTACAAACCCTATTCCTTTCCACGCTTATGCCTGGGGTTTTAATTCTGTGCGGAGAGAGCAGTTCTGGGAATGGGTTTCTGGGGTTCCTGGGCTCTGGTCCCCCGTTCGGAACTTTTGATCCCTCTGTTACTTCAAAGCTAACGTTTCATTGCTAGGGCTTCCCCGGTTTTCTTTTCCAAAGGAAAAGGCCAGAGAGTTGAGGGTAGTGTTAATCTCTATGAATGGAGGCACAATTCCTCATTTTATGAAGATTTTTATTAGGGTGAGAGAACTTCTGTTTTCTCTCTCTAATCTGCAAGGATTGAACACTGAAACAATACTCTGCTTCAGAAAGGCGTAGTTTTAATTCAGGTAATTGAGGGGGGAGGAAGAGTTTGAAAGCAGTTAATGATCATTGGTCTGCTTTATTTGTAAGGTTTTTTGGGCTTACCATACCTTCCTAATTCAAAATAGTTGCCTTTCATGCTGTGTTCATAGCTCACAACAAATGGAATAACATTGTAGTTTTAATTATACGATGTAAATTTAAGAACAGATTTTTAAATCCTTTTGTTGTAGGTACTTAGGTGTAGTTTTAGTGTCTACTTCAAAAAAAACCCCAAATGCTTGTGAGCAGACCTGAAAAGTGGATAGGGCACTTGAGAAGCAGCAGGGAACAAGCTCTGGTATTAAGATTTTTTAGAAAGCAGAGGAAACTGGTTTTGGTACTATTTTGGTTTTGTTTTGTTTTTTTCCCTTGTAACACCTACAAGGCACAAGTGTAGATAAATTGATCGACATGAGGCAAGGTTTTGTATCACAGTGCGCTGGTCAAAGATGGAGCTTGGCGCTGCTGTGAGGCCCTGAAGCCCCCTCTCTAATGAGGTGAGGGGATGCCGCTTTTCGTGTTGTGTCTGTGCTGTGAGAAGAACACAAGCAGCAGCTTAGCTGTCACGTTATAAAAAAACGTATGGTGGGTACCTTGCTTGTTGAAAACTAATGCCTATTGTATTAAAGAAAATTACGTTTTCTGGGTGATGCTACTTTTTTCTTAGGTTATGTATGGAAGCAAAGTGTAATGAAGCATGGGAATGTGCGAGTGTTCTCTAATTGGAGTTTGACAACGATGTTTTGTATTGCAGGGCAAATGACCCAGCTTTGTGAACTGATCAATAAAAGCGGAGAACTGCTGGCAAAAAATCTTTCCCATCTGGATACAGTGCTTGGTGCCCTGGATGTGCAGGAACACTCGTTAGGCGTTCTTGCTGTCTTGTAAGTGTTGCTTTCTTTTAATTAAATATGTTAGTATTAAAACTTCAGGCAACATGCTGAATTGTCAACCAGTTGTTTTTCTTTTGGACGTAAGTGTTTTCAGTCTACATTTGGTGCTTAGTTTCCTTCAGTGGTGCACATTTTATTAATAAAAATACAAGGCAAATTTGTATTTTCAAAAGAAAAAACCTATGGAGCTTGTAAACGCCGCTATTGTCAAATGGTAGTATTGAGGGTTTGTTTTCCTTTTCATTTCTCTTGTTTATGCTTTTTATAAGTATTTTTCCCTACGTGTTCAGCAAAAAGGTATAAAACTAGCTTTTAAAATGTGATTGGCAGGGCATTAGTGTGCTGAACTGTCAGCATGAAGTAATGCACTTTTTTCCCCGGTGGAGCATGGATTCTTGTCATAGTTCTTGGGTGTTTGTCTCTAGACAGCACTGAGGCTCTTGCTGCTGTCTGTAGTTTAAGATAATACTGGAGTTGCCTTGGTGATGCTGCGGTAAGGTAGGGCTATTTGGCCCTGAAGCTCAAACTGTTGTTTCCATCTGTACCTAACTGCAAGTGACGCATCTACAGGTTCCACTGTATTTTAAAGTTCTCTTTTAAAGGCAAGATCAGAATTCTAGTACTTGTCCTACAACTCTTTTGAAACAAAATGACCCTAAGACGTAGAGATAACGCACTTAATGTTACAATGCGCTACCATCTCATAAAAATGTGTTATGGAATTCACAAAAAGCAGGGCATCGGCACTGTGTTAGCAGAAGAATCTTGTCATGGGGTGCGTGAAAACAGTCATTAAAACAGGTGGGGAAAAGAAGATAACTTTGTAAAAAAAAATATGGGAAATGTGTTATTTGAAGAGATAGTATCAGTGGGGCGTATAGGCAAGCTCTCCTGGCTGAGACAGCGGCATGGCAAACTCCCGCGCTGGCCGAATAAGATTCTCTGAGGAGCCAGGGAAGGGCTGGCAGCACATAACCCACCCAGTCGTCAGCCTTCTGGGGAAGGCTTGTGTTTGTGATTTGGGCGGGTTTGAACTGCACGTTAGGGTGTCTAGCAGCTGCAGTGTGGTGGGGTTGGGTTCCTTCCAACAGCGTCAAACAGTTTCTCGTGAATGTTTTGGTGACATTTTTAGGATGCGTAGCTAGAGTTTTCATTGCACTCAGGTAAGCGTAATCCTAGTTTGCTTTACAGAAGAAGTAATGTGTCTGCACATAGTCCACAGCCTCTAGGGTGCTAAGGAACCACCAGAGGTGGAGAGAAACTGGAAGAGAAAGAGCTCCTGTCGAGAGTTACAAGTCTAATAATCGAATAGCTCAGAAATCTTGAGCACGTTCAAGCAGGAGATGGCTGCAGAATAGGCAAAAAGTGTCCAGAGAAGTTGTGTGGCTGAGTGTTAAAATTCACCATCGTTAGCCAGTGTTTCTATTACGACTGTAACTATTGTACCAGATAAAATGATCATTGCTCATCGTAGTTTATTCTAAATTGTAGTTTGCGCTAGATCGAGAATGGGGGTGTGCATGGAAAGCATATTTTTCAAATGTTGTGCAGCTCTTGGGGAAATCGTATGCCATCTGTGATAAACACTCTGGATTTGTTTGCAAGCATCTCTGTGCGTCTGGAGAGACTTAGTGGTGAAGATGAAGCTTTTTTATTGATCTCCAAATGTTAAGTGTTAAACCTTTTTGTTGTTGTTGTTTTTTATTTTAGGTTTGTGAAGTTTTCTATGCCCAGCATCCCTGACTTCGAAACATTATTCTCACAGGTGCAGCTTTTTATCAGCACTTGTAATGGGGAACACATTAGATATGCAACAGACACTTGTAAGTTAAGCTTACTTTGAGACTTAATATATTTTTGATAGCTTGATATTACTGATTTTTCACTGTGTTGTTGTTTTTTGTTTGTTTTTTTACTGTATTTAGTTGCTGGCCTGTGCCACCAGTTAACAAATGCCCTTGTGGAGAGAAAACAGGTGAGCAAGTATCATGCAGTACAGATACGCTACCTACATAGCCAGGCTCTTAAAGGGGATCTTACCAGTTTCTTACTCGCTTCATAAAGATTTGCCACTAACTTCATGTTAAGTATTTTTGTGCAGCTCCTTACCTCTCAGTAAACTTAACAAGTAATGGACATACACCAAGATTTTAATATTTCTTTAAGGAAAACATAAGGAAGATATATTTCTGGGGGGAGAGTCACCTAAAAACATGCTCTCACACACAAAAGAGGAAATCTGTAGTACTGAGAACATTCTTCAAACAATGTGTGCATGAGTAGGAGAGCTGCAAAAATTATTAGCGCTGGTGAGTCAGTGATACTAGTTTCAGTGTTACTCTCACCAGTGTTATGTAGTGTTCTTAATAAAATGCCTTAAAACGTAAAGGAAACTTGATTTATTTGACCAGTGTTTTTCTTGCCAAGATACTGACTTTTGCAGGCCATTTTCAGTGAAATCTAGCCTGAAATAGAGATGAAGTCTGGTCTTAGTGGAGTCAGACAAGAGCCTTGCCTTTGTTATTTGATGGGAGTTTAGATGGCATTCTGGAGTCAAGAAAAGGTTTTCTCATTGATGTAAATTACTGTATTCCTAATGAGGTTGTCTTTGTGGAGCAGAATTGATGGCTTTAGTTTATCAGGAGAAATTGTATAGCCAAGGTTAATTTTATTTTGTGAGAGACTGCAGTATCCTACAAAAAGGGAACCTCGAGTTAACTACTACTTACTGGAACCTGTCAATTAGTGTTATTTTTCATTTGTAAGTGTCAACATAAGATCCAATGTGCTGCGATCTATGAGAAATTATCTGAAAGAGATGTAATTTCTGACAGCCCCTGCGAGGAATTAGCATTCTCAGACAAGCCATAGACAAGATGCAGATGAACACAAACCAGCTGACCTCAATACACGCAGATCTCTGCCAGGTAAGGGCAGCATAAAGGCTTTTTGTGAGAGTAAAAGCTTATAAAATACCTATAACCCTTTGAGGAAATGCATGTTCACATATTGCAATGTAAAAATGGCTTTTAACTGTTTGTGGGGTTTTTTCCAGTAATAAATAGTATGATATACTGAAATAAAATCACCTTCTATTAATTTTAAATGTTCAGTGCCTGTCACCAGACCTTTGGTTTTGTTGATGACTTCTGAAAGTCCTTTGCCATCCCTTCTCTCTGGGCTGAAGTCACACACAGCTTCTCTTGGGCAGTAGAAGTGTAATAGCCCGATAGCGTTTGCCCAAGTCTGACAAAAGGCGTGTTTGTCTTGGTGTCTTTGGCCTGGATTTGCACTCTGTCTCACTCTTGGCTCCTGGGACTTTAGGGTTGGACGGGAATGTTTAGTGCAATGTTTAGTGCTGCCAGCACGGTAGTCTGGAAGGCCTGGAGTTTCAAGCAGCTTTGTCAGACTCTAATTTCTTCAGGATTCTGATAACCTGTAACAATTCATAATCTGCGTTAAGGGTTTTTCAAATATCATGATACAATGAATAATCTGTGTTACAGCACTACGGACGTGCACTGTTTTTTCACTCCTGGAGGAGTGAGGTTTGTTAAATGGTACTAGATGTATTTAGTTTCAACTTCTTCCTCATGGAAATTTGAATGAAAATGGCTAATTTATGAAAACTTGATTTATTTTCTTGTAGCTCTGTTTGTTAGCAAAATGCTTTAAACCTGCCCTCCCGTATCTAGATGTGGACATGATGGATATTTGTAAAGAGAATGGGGCATATGATGCGAAGCACTTTTTATGTTACTACTACTATGGTGGGATGATATACACTGGGCTAAAGAACTTTGAAAGAGCACTCTACTTTTATGAACAGGTAACTTTAAATAAAATGGTAAGTCTGAAGTGTGATCAGTTGACAAGCAAAAGTAGCATTTGTAGCAGTGCTGAGACAACACCGAGGATAGCAGTAAAAGCCACGAACCTGATGTGAAGTACAAGCAATCTCCAATTATTTTCATTCCCAACCTTAGGGATATAATTCTACTCATAGGTGTATAGTGCTGTTCATCGTTCACGTAGCTTTTGGTTTAGCACCTGTGTGCTACATATAAACTGATTTGGGTTAGTGTTCACTGTTAGCTCTTTTACGAGAGGTACAGGCTGCGTGGTGCTCTTTAGTGTATAAAGTGAAGTAAGAAGGAAACTGTCTTCAGAGTTGTTTTCCTTTAAGAAGGTCTCTTACAGCCAAATAACTATTGCACTGTAAAACTATGCGACTCAAAGGTTGATGTTAAATTTATCTCACTATAAATATTTTTCAAATGCCTGCTTATTACTGCTCGCATAGAAACAGTTCACAGGCTGTCATTTGGAATTGGGTATTCTTAAAGAAAAAACAGTTGAAGACCTTTGCTAATTTTACGAGCGGTGTTACACTTCTTCAAGGCTGTTAAAATATTTGCTGCTTTTACTTTCTCTGTGGAAAAAGAGAAGATCGCAACATTGGGGAAACTTCATGTGTGTATGGGGGAAAATGCTGTCAAATGTGCAAAATAAACTGGTGCAGCATTTTCTTTTCTGTAAACAAAGGTGAGCTCTTGAGTAGCTGGCAGTATCATAGTAAACTAAAAATCCTTTTCTGTATTCTGCAGACGTCTTTCAGCACACTTAAATATGAGATTTGATGATGTAATAGCTTTATAAAACCTCTTTAAGGCTCTGTGTAAATCCAGGTTCTACAGGAACTGTATAATCATTCCTGGTAACAAGCAGCTAGAGGTGCTTTCTAGTACAACTTTAGACATATACCAAGAAGTTTTTATTTGATCCTAACCGGGTTATTTTAAGGTAGGCATCACTGTAACAGGATATGTTTTGAGTAGCTTGTGTAGGGTTTATTTTGCTAGGACATTTTTTGATAATTAATTATGACAGAAGTTAGCTAAGCTTTAATGCTCAAAGGTGTATTTCGTATGTCATGGTATCCTTTCTGCATGCAGCTTTAAACTGAGATTTTTGTCAATGCAGTAGCTACCAGGACCTGCCAGTCAGTGTACTAAATTTCTATTCCATTTCTTTCTTTCTTGCTTAGGCAATAACTACTCCAGCCATGGCAGTCAGTCATATTATGTTGGAATCGTATAAAAAGTATATTCTAGTTTCTTTGATACTACTTGGCAAAGTTCAGCAGCTACCAAAATACACTTCCCAGATAGTTGGTAGATTCATTAAGGTAAGTCTTGGGAATACAGCTAAATAATAGAACAACAAATCTGAATTTGTAAATGATTTTTTTTCCTACTCTCATTTGATGGTACTGTTTAACATTGCAGATCGTGGGGAAATAATGCACAGTGTGCCAGAATACAACCTCTTGCTGCCTTTCTAGTGTACGATAGCTAAAGATTGTCTGGCAACTTCTACATCTGTTACAGACAAACTCTGTTGTTCATAGTGGCGACACAGGTTCTTAAACTTAAATTTGCAGAAGCTTTAGGGTTGAATAGTACTTGCCAATATTCTCTTCACTGATGCTGTATGTCCCTTGATAGCATTAGAACTCAAATGAGACTCAGATTTCATTTGGCTTTCAATATGCAGTGTCCTTGTAAAAACCTTCAACCCATAACTTCATCTGGTTGAAGTATGAAATGCTGAATAATCTATTCCAAAACTCCAGCTTTATAAAGAGTAAAAGCTCTGAAAAAGCTGCAAGTTTGGAGTCCATAAGCATTCTGATTAAGCAGTGTAGGGTGGAAGACAAAACTGCTAGTGGGAGAGTTCTGATCCTAGGTAAATAACACACTTTTAGCTAGGTCTTATTTAACACCGAGTTTATTGATTTGTGACCAACATCTTAGAGTTCAAAAAAATCTTCTTCTAACTTCAGGTACTAATAAGCAAGCTCAGACAATTGCCATTTTAAAGTAATTTGGGTGAAGTAGTCTTCACCCTCTCATTCTCGATTGTCCGTGCTGTGATTCAGTGTGGTCAAGGATGACAGTGTCTTTGGGGGTAGGACAAATCTGATGGATGGGCAGTGACGAGTCAGTGTGCTACCTACCTTGAATTCAGCTTACTTCATGTGCTGGTCAGCCAAAGAGCGGCTTCTTGCTCTCCCATAACTAGAAGTGTCATACAGAGAGTCCTTGAATGAAGTTTACTAAATCTTACATTGCAGTAATACAGATTTAGCGTATGAGGATCTATTGTTGCTGTAAAGCCATGTATGGGCATTGCATAGTTTTTATGAGAGATGCTTGAGCTACTTAAATTTACCTTTATTCCTACATGACTTCTGATGTTGAAGTAGTGACTAGGTTTTGTGAGGCTGGTTGAACACTGTTCTTTAAGAAGGGTTCTCTTTTTTTCCAATTGCAGCCCCTTAGCAATGCTTACCATGAATTAGCGCAAGTTTATTCAACCAATAAACCCTCGGAGCTTCGAAATCTGGTGAACAAACACAGTGAAACATTCACAAGGGATAACAATATGGGGCTGGTTAAGCAATGCTTGTCATCTCTCTACAAAAAGAATATTCAGAGGCTAACCAAGGTAAGATGTAGGGGTTTTGTTTTTCTGAGAAACTGTGATGAGTTTTTCTCAAAGAGTGTGTCTCTGAAATGTACTCAATTCAAAGCAAAATAATGTAGTGAGGTCACAGAGAAATGACTAAAACTGAGATTTGTGTCTCTGAAACAAATGAGACTAAAATGCTCTGTATAGAAAACCAGTTCAGTTGGCTCCTTACGCATTATTTAAAAGGTGGTTCAAGATGTCTGCCTATCAGAGGGGTCTGCCCATGAGATTTTTGTACATAATGAAGAAAGTTGTGAGTGCTGCTACCAAATGACCTTCATCTCTATTTGGAAAATAGGAAGCCTGAACTTTACAGGTTACTTCATTAGAGAAGAGTGAGTGGGACAGATTTTGGAAGTGTCTGAAGTAAAAGGAAACACAGCAGCAGTGGAGTGATGTGCTCCTTCAGCTGGGAGATCAGGCTAATGCTTAAAGATGATCTGGGAGAGGTCTTTTTTTGCAAGCCGAAATAATGTTTGTTGCAGTAGAACTAACCTCAGAAGTAATGCAATACGTGCATCTCTTGAAGGAAGTCCAAGGGATGGGCAGTCACCTTATTCATGTAGAAAGGTGAGGGAAGAGGCTGGACGTGGTCAGGACTGTGTCTGGGGTGAAGAGGAACTGCAGGAGTGGAGGAATGACGCCGTTAGTTTGGTCCGCATACGTGCGCGGTGTAACAAATTGATGTCTTTGGAGGAAGAACTGACTCCGCTCTCATGGCGCTTTTAGAAGTAATAGCTGTGTGATCCACCTGTTTCTTCCCATCAGACTTCAAAAAAAGATTGCGTAGGCCATGAAGGATTGATAGGGAAAGTTCTTGGCATCTAGTTTTAACGGTTTGATATTTTCTAAATTTCAGACATTTTTGACGTTGTCATTACAAGACATGGCAAGTCGAGTGCAGTTGTCGGGGCCCCAAGAAGCAGAAAAATACGTCCTCCACATGGTAAGACTTGTGACTTCACTAAACTATTTAATTTAAAAACTGATCCAGTTCAAGACTCTTCAGGTGTTTGGATTGGCTCTGCATGTTCTGAATGGCTGAAGAATGGTGCTTTTTCGGGGTGAAGGAAATGCTGTCAGTCTGCTGTGGCGTTTAGACTGTTCTCAAAAAAATCTCAAAAGATACTCTCTGCCTAAGATCAGGCCTGCATTGTTTGTCTGTGGGAAGCTGTTTGGAAATAAAAAGCAAGCAAGCAAAAGATGATACCACAAGGAGTCTGTGTATTGCAGTCACCCGAAATTCTGTTCTTGGTGATACCTTATGTTAAACCCTCTCTCATTTCAGATAGAAGATGGTGAAATCTTTGCAAGTATTAATCAGAAAGATGGTATGGTTTGTTTCCATGATAATCCTGAAAAGTATAACAATCCAGCTATGCTTCATAACATTGATCAGGAGGTAAATCTTTAAGATTTATTGCTTTTGGAATTCCTAGTGAAGAGCCTTAGGTTTTAGATTGACAGTCAGCTACTGTCAATGCATTCCCTGTTGTATCTTCTGTACAGCTTGAGATGTTTCGGTAGACTGACTGCTTGATGTTGGTGAAGTTACTTGAGTTGACTAGTTTAGAAGGATGGGTTTTAGAGTTTTAGACTTCTAGGATCGCATCCGCTGTCTGTCGATAACTTGCCTGTAGGCTGAGGTGGTTGACCCTCATGGGACTGTCTGTCAGTGGCCTTAAAAAGGATTGTTAGGGAGACATGGATCAAAATAAGGGAATAAAAAAAATGGTCTGACCTTTGTGTTTGGGAGAAGGATGAGAACATTGTGACAGGGAACTTCTGTGATCGCAAAAGTTACTGGTTCTGCCTAGCACAGCCATGAAATATCTTGAAGATCATGTGCAAGCTGGACAAAGTAATCAACTTTGTATATATTTTTAAGATGCTGAAATGTATAGAGCTTGATGAACGACTGAAAGCCATGGATCAAGAGATCACTGTGAACCCTCAGTTTGTGCAGAAGGTAATGATTTACTGTCTTGTAAGAGTATGTACAGGATTCAGCGCGGTGCGTATGCTTGGTGCTGAATGTCAGTATTTACAGTGTAAATTACATGTTATTAATAATAATACCATATAGTATTAAAAATAATACATGCATGAACATCATGCTTTAAAACAAAAAGGAAGTGCATGTTACTTCATATGCACTTTATTCTCCTACCTGGTAACTTCAAAGAACTGTCTCTCAAAGGGAAACCTTCAGACCTGTTTTTGAAAAGAAGTATCTCTCTCCCTTCCAGAGTATGGGCTCTCAAGAAGATGACTCAGGGACCAAACCATCCAGTTATTCCTGAAATTAATGTTGCTCACCACTCCGCTGTCAAGTAAAAGCTTATGAAAGAATCACGCCTGGAATAGGGCATTGAGGAGTTCTACGAAGAGAGCAGAGAGAACTGAGCTTTGCTTTTCACCTGGACATTAAGAAAATAAAAGAACACCCTCTCAGTACTGTACAATATCAGAAATATTCTCTGCAAAGAAAAAGGAAATCTCAAAAGAAACTTAAAAGTCTGTTGTGGATTTATTTATCTTCAGATTAACATCGTTAATGCATTAAATAATCTACCTTTTGTTTTAAAGGGTTTGAATGTTGCTGTGTTTCTGTAGCAGTCCTTTTTTCTCTTCTGGAAAAAAAAAAAAGTGTTATTCAGGGAAGAATACAAACTAGTGTTGGTTCACTTACAAGTTAATTACTGGTTCCTTATTCTGTATTTAAAGTTGGCTGAAAGTACGGATTTATCGTATGTGTGGTGGGGGCAGAGGGGTGGTGGAGTTGAAGTAAACGCTCTGCATTGTAATTTGCATATGCCTGGTGTAGCTGGCTGCCGTCTATTAAATGAAATAAGACCTGGGCTCTTCCCAGAAGGATGAGTGTATTAACGAGTCCTTGTAAGGCAGTTTTGCTGAACAGCAGAAATCGCTATAGGGAATCCATACATGACAGCTATTTATGATATTAAGTTTTGGGTACAAAATACCTGCTAATAACATTTGCTCTTAGATCAAACCAATTGTATCCTAAACAAAAGGATATGTGGAAGACCTTGGTGTTCTGGAAGGATTCTAGATTCGACGTTCACAGTGAAAAAAAAAAAAATTTGTTCCTATACAATTGGCGTGAAAGTATTCAACAGGCTAATACTTTTCTGGTGGAAATAAGCGCAGGCCATGCTATAGATCTTTGTTTCCAAAGCAAATAATTCTACATGGAACACAGAATTCTATATAGCACTCAAAATGCAGGATTTTATTTGGACATAACATGCTGGAATGCTATCTGGTTTTTAATTCAATATTTTAAATATTAAAACTTTGTTGTTGGATTCTGTAAGTGCTTTACCCCGGAAATCAATGGGCTCTTTAGTTTTCTGTAGCTCTCATGTATCTGAAGAGTCTCACTGTTAAAACACCTTTGAAACACTTCATGTCAGCGCAGATCTCCTACTAGCAGGCATAAATAAACCTGTCATCAAGTCAGAATGTGAGAAGCTCAGCATCCAGTGCTTCCTACGTAAATGCCTGACTGGGGGCTGCTTGCTACTGCTAACCTGCCAGCTTTTTTTCAGGAGCCTAGGTGGGAGCTAAGCATTTCTGGCTCTTGCTGCGTGAAGCTTGTGTGTATGGAGGTCACCCGTGGCTGAAAATACTCCCTTTGTGCTTCCAGTGCCGATACAGAACTGTGGGGGTTTTCACTTAAAATCGGTTGCTTCATTCCAGCAGAGTCTCTGTGACAGTGATGTGCTTTCTAGTAGAAGAGCTACGTCCCCAGGTTGTTCTCTAGGTGGTGAATGTCAATGAGGTTTTTAAAAGTATAAAATAGCAGTTTAGTGTTGAGCACAGCGTAGGTCCATAGTGTTAGTGGCTCACCACTGAGTACTTGTGCTTCCTATCATAGAGGCTTCCATATTTGAAGGCAACTTTTACACCTGGTCTTAAAGCAAAATCTTGAGGGTTTGGGTTTTTTTGTTTTTCATAACTTGCCTTACCAGTCTTGTAATTAAAGGTATTTAGGATTTTTGGAAGGTTTTTTTCCTAGTTAATCCTGCAGTGATTTCGGTGTTGAACATGCTTATGCAATTTTCTGCTCTGGTACTGTGGAAGTGTTAAATCGGTAGATTAGTAATGCTGTGGGCTCGAGCACAAAGCTGGGTTGTCAACGCGTTTGCAGCCATGGGCAGTAGTCATCAAGTACTGCAAATGACCAACCCCGACCTGCCACCTGTACAAAAAATGTGCCGAGGGCTCGCTTGCCAGGGGAGAATGTCTGCAGGATGCTGACAAGGGGCTGGAGCAGAACCAGAAATGGCCGCTTCGCAGTGGCTGAGCTTTTATACCACTCGTTCCTATTAATGAGCATGGACTTACCAGGATGACTTCCGATCTCTGGAATTAGAAGCAAATATATGCAGCTGGCAAATAACAGCTACATTTTTGTTGTCTTTTTTGCCTAAAGTAGATAAAAATAAACCCTTGCTCCCATCAAAAGGATGGTAGAAATAGCTATGTAATAGTTTCCAATAAATTACGCTATTTTTCTTAGTCTGATTTTTAAGAGGGCAAATGCTTTTAAACGAGAACTGCTAAGGTTCTTTTTCTGATGTGGAGAACCTTATCCTGACATGGAGAGTCGTGCTGTTAAACTGACTGCTGTCGAAAATTCAAAGTCAGGTCCCACCTATAGAATCAGTAGAGATAAAGCATTCACCAGAATTGCTTCAGGGAAGGGCTTTTAAGTAAGAGTTTGATAAACACATATGGTCTGGCATCTGCATGTCTTGAGATACTGTTGAAATTAAGTCAGATTTTTAATGAAGTAGCTCCTTCAAGGCTTGGAACTAATTGCATGGGCTGCGGTCAGCTGAGACGCTTTGAGAACACTTGAGCTTTCTGGTTTTAATTTGTATTTATTGCAGGGAAGGACTTGTGCTCAAACAGAAGAACACTGTCTGCTATGCTGCTCTGAACTTAGACTCTGAGAGGTCCTGCGGCTGGTTCTTCCCGTCGTGCATGGCCACAAGATGTGTTCACGAAATACTGAGTGCATGCTTTGATATCTAACTCATATTTTCATGCATCTTAATTAGCAACGGTCTAAAATGCAGTTCTGAATGTAGCATTAGATGTGCAACTGCGCTTCTTAGCCACAGGAGGGGTCTCTAGTTCAGTTACGCCTAGCAGGTAATAAAAGGTTTCTAACCAGAAATGGTTGGAAGCCGTTTGTGTACCACCCCCCTCCTGTCTCTGTGTCACCGAGGAGCCCCAGGTAGAGACCTCTGCCATCGCGCCACGTGCTTTTGCGTGACTCCAGCTGCCGCCTCCTCTGCGACTTCCCTTCTCTATGCTACAGCACAACCGCGACCCGTTGTATGCGTTGTCACAGGCGATCTGTAAAACCTAGGAACTGTTTTCTGCATGAAAACTGGCTGAAGAGGTTAGTCCTGAGAAGTTGTTTAAATGTATGATTGGAAAATAAAGATCACAAACGAGTCGTTCTTCTTAGTTTGTCTTAAATGAGATAGTAGGTCTTTGGTATTTGGCTTTTCCTTAGGTTTTTTTGGGGGGAGAGGGGGTGGATGCCTTGTTCCTGTTGCTTCTCAGGACGCGATTCTGGCTGACTGCAGGAGGCTGCCAGTTTGCTGTATGTGGCAGTGCCCTCTGCTCAGGAGTTGCTCAAGCTCTGCTGGTGGCTTCTTGGAGCTCTCCTGAATGATCTTGAGCAGAAATAGTAGTTCTTGTGCAAGCTGCGTGCCTTCCTTGGGAAGTGCTGCTGCAGGTCCTTGTCTGAGATGGGCTCCAGGATTAGATGGACTTTGGACACTCCTATTGATGTCTCATCTTTGTGGTACCGTAACCATCCATCTCGCTGACCATCTGTGTATTGTTTTCTTCAGAGGCGTAATTCTTAGTCTGCTTGGATCCAGAGGCGCATATTGTAGCGGTATCAGTGACAGCTGCTCTCTCTTGGATTGAGGCCGTGCTTCAGGGAGGCCTTCCGTCTGCCCCCACCTATTCTGGTTAGTTTAAGGAGTTAAAACACACGATGGCCGCCGCCAGCGCTTGTATTGTCTCGAACGGAGAAGCCGGGCCCTGCCTTGGGGGTGCT